GTTTTCGCGATTGTCTTAGAACTTCCGATTCAGTCGCCTATGGGAGAAATGACTAGGAATAATAAACGACAGAATCGGTCAAACAACTTGCTCTACAAACAAATGTTTGCATGACTATACAGACTAAGTAGAATAATATAATAAGAAAATATCAAATTGCAACATCAAGCAGCGTAATGAGCAGTTTTTAACGTCAAAACATGAATGAAAGTGAATGAGACCGGAATTCTCAAGCCAAAAAGATTCAAATGGCAGCCACCTCTCGTCGGCGGAGAATAAGGTGAATATGTGGCTCCAATAGCCTAGCGGTTAAGTGCGCTGACATATATGTTGATGGTGATTTGAGTCAGATAATCCCCTACTCGGGGTCCTTTGCCGATCCTTTCCTTTTTTATGTTCGACACATTCCTGTCTACACTCTTTACTGTCCTATCCAAAAAATATTTTTTAAATTAATCAAATAAAGAATTTATACTTCTGCGTCAAGCGCACATGTATGGTTTTGCACAGCCTTCGCACGGTCGCATGGCCTTCGCCGTGGCTGACACCGACGCGCACCTCTCGAAAAATGTAATTACACATTGCAACAACGTGTAGCGCAAGCTCTGTGATTGGTCGGCTTGGTAGCTGTGACGAGCGTGGGAGGTGCTGATAGCCGCAAGCCCGATGGAGCTAGTGTTTACAAGTGTTGAGTCCTTTGAAGGAGCTCCAGATAGAAACTTTTGTTTTGTGTTTACCTTATGATTAAGTTTGTTGAACTTCCACCGATTCCATCCTCTGAATAAGCGAGTTTTAGTTACTTCTACATCAAGGTAGCGTTCAGAAAAAACAAAACATCCATGAAGAAACTCGACACAGAGGAACATAAAAGCTTTCTGCCAGCTAGCGTTTCGGAAGTGTTATTGCAGAGCAACACAAACAGTGCGCAGAAGTATAAACGCACGGTTACGTACAAGTCAGGCGCCCTGGATTACGGTAATCACTCGACGCAGAAGTATACACCAGCCTTAAGCTGAAGGAAAATTAATAAATGAAATAAAAAGGTGTTTAAATGTGTTTAAAAGGTGTTTAAATGTAGAATTTTGTGCACAGGTTTTGACAAAGTTTTTTTTTTCTTTCAGTTTCTCGCTATAAACTAAAAAAAGGCAGTTTCCAGCAGTACATTGTTTTAAAATCAACATTTAGATGTATATGTAAATGTTCTCTTAAAGGGACAGTTCACCCAAAAATGAAAATTCTTGTTTACGTACATTTCACTTGTTCAAAACCTATTTATGAGTTTCTTTCTTCCGTTAAACATATAAGAGGATGTTTTTTAAAAATACTGGTTGCTGCATTCATTTACTTCCGTAGTTTTATTTTTCTACTATTGAAGTCGATTAGTGCCATCAACCATTCTTCAAAATAACTTCTTTTGTGAATGAAAATTAATGAAACCAGCAAAAATAACTGCGGTGAGAAAACAGCAGTAAGGGATATAACAGAGGGGTCACAGTGGTAAGGAAAAGTAAATGTAAATGATAGTTTGCATGATAGTTGATTATTGAAGTATAATGGAGACTAAACACTCGATAGATCTTAGATTATAATTTGAATTATTTAATTATATATTATTAACATTATCTAATTAATCTAATATATTTTATCTAAAATAAAATAAACAATTTACAGATTTAAACAGTTTTAATGAAAGAACATGTGCTAATTATAATATAAATATATATGCAAATTATTATATAAATATTATTACGTTTATTGAATAATTAAATGTGTATATACACACACAAATATATTAAATGTCATAGATGTAATTATTACTATTATTATTAAGTATTATTATTATTAATATTAATATTATTCATGGTCATTTTATAAACGTTTACTTTTTTACAATATCTGCCAATTATCCTAGCTATTTAGTTGTCCAACATCATCTTGTTTAAGATTTATTTTTTGCTACAGTAACACACTTGGAAAAGTTCTGACGAATCAAATTTACGCAGCTTCTATTTAAAGGCACAAAGCTCATGCTGTACACACACACATCCCCACGCAGCAGCTTAATTATTAAGCACAAAACTAGAGAAAGTTTGCTGACCTTAAAAAAAAACTAGCACACCGCTCTTCATCTGAGCTTTGGAAAATATTTGTTTACTATTCCCAAAACATTGGCCTCATTTATCTTGGTATCTGAATTCGATTTATAGTTACGTCATGAGTTCACTACGGTCATTTTCTAACCTCTGATCTGTTTTTTTTTAGCATACATGCTGGATGCAGTGAATCTAAAAGGCTATTTTGCATACGCATTCAGTGACCAGCGGGACCCAGGCTTTGGCATGTATGGTCACGTGCAGGAAGAGGTGATTTCAAAATCCTCACTGGGCCATTACAAAAACATTATCCGCCACAATGGCTTCCCAGCCCCAAGCACATCTCAGCATCAGTGTCCCCATGCTCCAGCTCAAGGATCGGGCCGATATGTCCTCACCAAGAAGCCTGTGGTCGGCTTTCTCTCTCTGGTGAGCTCCTGCATGCTCATCACTATGTGCCTTGTTATCTACTATGCATTTAAGAGGCACAAGTTAACCACCAAAAAATGATTGATACAGCTCTGCTGACACTTTTAATTTATTTAGTGGTTTTCTCATTACTGTAGGTCTCTTCACACTGTGCTTAACCCTGAGTTTTTGTTGTATTAAATCGGCACGTGATGATAACCAGTTTATCCAAGTTAAAGTCAAGGAAAAGTCAAGGTTTTAAAACCCCTAAAATGTTCTGCCTTTACAGGTTAAAAAATCTTTATGTTTTTGAAACTATTGAAGACCACAGAAGTCAATCATTTATTTTAATCATTTAACCTGACATTAATTATTTTAACCTGTTTACTGTTTTAAAACATTATAAATGCTTCTTAATATAAAACATACTGTGTTCAATGGGGTGAAAAGATTGTTGTTTTTTACCCTGACATTTAAAAAAAATTTTAGGGCAGTAATTACAATACAGTAAATCCGATGTTTTTATGTGAGGTTATCATATAATCAGAATCTTATACCAGCCCATGTCTTGTACTAAACCCCAGTTTTAACCGCAGGTAAAGAAGTGTTTCATATTTGTGATTTAGAAGCACCAGTTCTGTGCTTAACCCTAAACATTCAGCCTGAAATTATATGGCCTTTGAATGTTACATTAAGACCACTCGTCACTTATTTATGTCACAGAAACGGCATAAACTATATAGAAATTGGTGTTTTAGTGTTTAAAGGCAATAATGACAATTGTTATTAAATATAAAAATGCATCAGATGGAGTAAACAGGATTATATATCACAGGATTACATTTATCCAGAGTAAAAATGACCCAGGGTTAACTAATTCAGGTGTGAAAAGCCCTAATGTATGCTATTTATAAAACGTAAATCTGCACAAATTGGGTTTTGCCCCTTGCCATTCTCAAGCTAAAGATTTGGAATTTGGACTGGTGCTCATATAAAGAGATAGTTCACCTGAAAAAATGAGAGAAGGATTTGTCATAATGTACTCACTCTCAAGTGGTTCCAAACCTTTGTTAAAGTTTCTTTAATCTGTTGAACACTAAATAAGATATTTTGAAGAACGTTTGAAACTGGCAGCCATAAATATCTTCTTTATGTTCAACAGAAGTAAGAACCAAAAACAGGTTTAGATCAAATGGCGGGTGAGTACATGATGAGAAAAGTTTTGTTTTTTGGGTGAACTATCCCCTTTAATTGGGGGAGTTTGTAAAGTGGCTATCTAAAACGTTCATTTCTCTGAATTAAATGTGTATAAATGAATACACATTTTTATAAACGAGTCCCCAGGATAGTTATGTAATGGCTAGCTTTAAAATCCTTATTTATTTGTAAAAAGTAAGATATTTGCGTTGTTTTGTCAAGTTTGCACGGCAGTTTGGTTTTTGCACGATAAAACATTTATAAGGGAAATGTATTGTATTTGTTTGGCATGTTATAGAGGTTCTTAGTATGATTAGTGTAAATAAGTGATGTTAAAGGGATAGTTCACCCAAAAATGAAAGCGTATTCACTATTTACCAAACTAAAAATATCTATATCAGGGGTGTCCAAACTCTGTCCTGGAGGGCCAATGTCCTGCTGAGTTTAGCTGCAACTTGCTTCAACACACCAGCAAGGAAGTTTCTAGTACAGGGGTGTTCAGATCCGGTCCTGGAAGGCCAGCGTTCAGCATAGTTTAGCTGTATCCCCAATCAGACACACCCAAGCCAGTAATCAAGCACTTACTTTGCTCACTTGAAATGTCCTGGCAGGTGTTTTGAGGAGAGTTGGAGCTAAATTTTTAAGGACACCGGCCCTCCCGGACTGAGTTTGGACACCTGTTTTAGTATATCTAGTAAGAGCTTGGTTAGCTGGTTCAGGTGTCTTGGATTGGGTTGGAGCTAAACTCTCCAGGACACCGGCCCTCCAGGAGCGTAAGTGGACATCCCTGATCTATATCACACCTTCATGTGTTTCGTGTCAAACATGAAAGAAGATATTTAAAAAAACGCTGAAAACCTGTAACTATTGACTTACATAGTAGGAAACATAAATATTGTCAATGGTTTCAGGTTTCCAGCATTCTTCATAATATCTCCTTTCATGTTTAACACAAGAAAAGAAGGTTAACGGGTAAAGTTGAGTATGTGATGACAGAATTTTCATTTCTGGATGAAGCGTCTCTTTAGAACAGGTCATGTATTTTCTGATGTGTAAATTACATGATCACATGGGTATTAAATAATTGTTAACTGTCTAATTGTCATCACAAGTCCACTTGTGTATCATTGCTTTTTAAGATTAACTGTAACTTATTTGCACTTTTTAAATGATTGTCTCTGAAGTTCCCAGTTTTCATTGTATTTGTGCTTTGTTGTCAATATTTTGCTTATTTCACACATATCCAGAATTCTGTACCCCTTTAACGACATTCCCAGTGACAATAACAACCGGTCACAAACATTTGTAGATGTCTTTTATTATGAAAAACAGTAATATAATCTCTCATTTACATTTCCTTAGAACATAAAGTTGTCAAGCCCATCTTCCATAAACTTCTTGTAGATGGCCATGAATTTTGCGACGAAGGCCTCCAGGTGGTAGATGGCTTTGTTGCCCAGCTGCAGTCTGTGTTCATAGTAGGCCGCCATCTGAGCCACTTCAGCCTTCAGGTGTCCATCACAGTTACTCAACAACTCAGTCACCAGACCCTAGAACACAATGCACATTTTATTTAACGCTCAAGTTAAAGTGCCAATAATTTCTTTATAATAAAATCAAGCAGCTCTACCTTCATGATGACTTCTGGTGGGATGCAGTGAGTTAGAAGTTCATACAATCGTGCACGAACTTCCAAAAGCCTGCAAATATGAATTAATTTAGTCTCCAGTATATGCAAATAAATAAAGCTGTGGTTAAAAAAAAAAAAAAAAAAAGCATCGCTATTCTCTCTTTAATGGATTCTCTGGATATATATGAATGTTCAGACCTCTGAGGGCTTTGCTGGCTAACTATAGCATTAGCGGTCTCTCTGAGGTAAACCTCCCAGTCTGTCTCTGGGATGTCCTGGTCTGGAGAGAAGGGATACCTGCAGGAAGCACATTTGGGAACAGATTACAAGCATTGTATGTGTTTGGCGTACTCTTCAGGTGAGTTACTTTCAATCTGAGGCTGAAAATTCATTCTTAATTGTTTTTGTAGAAGTTAAAGTCTCTTACTGTTGAACTCTGCAGGCCTCGCACATCAGCAGGGCCTTACGGAGGTTACGGCCAGATTTCTCTGCGATTTGTTTGGCCAGTTCTGGAGGAAGCAGCAGACCCTCCTTCCTGCACACGCCTGACAGGACACTGCACACCTGAGAGGATGAAGGTTGGATTGTTTTCAGATGATGAATTTATGATGCTGGTCTAATATAAATATATATGTATGAGCAGTTGATGTCAGAATTATTAGCCCTCCTATTAAATTGTTTTTTATTTTTCCCCAATTTGTTTAACAGAGATTTTACTAATAATAAAACTCATTTCTAATTACTGATCTCTAGATATAAGAAAGATTATAGTATTCAGCTTAAAGTGAAATTTTAAGGATTAACTAGATTAATTAAGCAAGTTAGGGTAATAAGGCAAGTCATTGTGTAATAGTGGTTTGTTCTCTAGACAATCTGAAAAAAATATTGCTTAAGGTAGCAAATTATATTGACCTTACTATGGTTTTAAAAAAATGCTTTCATTCTAGTCGAAATAAAACAAATAAGACTTTCTCCAGAAAAAAAAAGATAGGAAACATTTTGAAAATGTCCTTAATGCATTAAATATCACTTAAGAGACATTTGAAAAAAAAAATAATGCGCAGGAAGAGATAATAATTTTGCCCTCGTAATATACGCGACGGCACATCTGATTATTCAGCAGCGCATAATGCTTCAGAAATTCTACAATACTTATTTGGTCAATAAACTTTAGTTTATATGTATAATAATAATAATGCATTCCATTTGTAATGTGCCTTTTTAAACAAATTAATTTTCACCTTACATTTGGTTTTCACACCGAAATTATTGGTGATATATGCATATTATATATTTGTCAAATTTGTCAAGATAAGTTCTTCAGATGTAGAAAAAAATAGTTTATTAGAAAATTTAGCAAAAGGGTCAACAATTAATGGGTTGTACAGTAAAATTAAACATATAAAAACAACACCAATTTAAAAAAGTAATAAATGAATGCCTTTTATGAAATATGACTAGGCCAACAATTTTAATAAATTGAATGCTGAATATAAAAGTAGGGCTGAATCATTTAAGCATCGACATCGCAATGTGTATATCCTCAATAATCAAATCACATGATAAGATTATTTATTAAATATTAAAAAATAAAAATATTATTATATATATATATATATATATATATATATATATATATATATATATATATATATATGCAATGATGGCCATGTTATTTTATGTTTGGTTGTTAAATTTCTGTGCCTGAAATTAGAAGCACTGTTTATTTCACTTAATATATTCATTTCGAAATATATATTGCAGCAAAACAACATATCGCAATGCCATATTTTTTCAATATCGTGCCGACCTAATACAAAGTATTCATTTCTTAAAATATAAAAGCTGGTATGCTATTAAAAACAGCAGTGGCGTGAAGTGTCTTTTTCACACTAAAGGCTTCAGCTTGCTGTTTTTGTTCTGATTAACGTTTGTCTCATTCTACTTGTACAACAACACAAAGTGAATATGTTCTCTGATTATTCATGTTTACCTGATGAATATAAAACTACATCACTATAAACATTGACTCCACAATTTATTGTTTCAGCAGTGATATCGCAACGTGCAAATCCACATTAATCACATCACAGAATCTGCAATGTCAGTTCAGTTTATTCATCCACTAGGAAATTTAAGTGGGATTACTCATTGTGAAGTTTAACCTTATAAAGTGAAATTTGATTGCTTTGGTTGTTAAAGTCTATGACTGTGAGATTTGAAGTGTATGTGTATAAGAAATTATAACATTTTAACAAAGATAGTTTATTTTTTATACAATGAATACTATGCAATGTTATTTATTTATATTTGATCGTTTAATTTCTGTACCTGAATACAGTTAGACTCATTCTAGAACATCATAAAACACTTTCTGCTTGATTTTATGCAGATTGTCGGTCCTACAAAATCATCCCGATCTATATAAAATGATGAATTCTTTTCAAATTTTGCCATGCAAATCATTGGATGAAGTTCACATCGCAATATATATTGAAAAACAAAACATCTCAATCTTTTTTTTTTCCAATATCATGCAGCCAATACGTGGCGAATTGTGTTCACCATGGGTTTAGCTAATCGCAGTGCCTCAACAGGGCCCAGGCCTAGCCAAAAAAAACATTTGAGTGGGCACATGGCCTCGCTGCACCCTCACCTCTTCCACACTTGGCAGAGGGACCCTCACAGCCAGACACCTGCTCCTGATGGGGGCGATTACTTTTGACGTGGAGTTACAGCAGAGGATCAGTCGACAAGTGGCCATGTACTTCTCCATCGTACGGCGCAAGGCATGCTGGGCATCTTTAGTGAGGCGGTCCACCTCCGTGAGCAGCACCACTGTGAATAGATGAGGAAAACAGCTTAGTTATTCAGTGTATTCAGATAAATGATCTAACTTAATGAAAGAAGAAAGCCAAACCTTTGAACTCCCTCTGAGCGCTGGACTGAATCTGCTGAGACTGTGCGACTGTTTTTATCAGCTCCTGAATGACCACGCGGTCACTGTTCCCGGCATCACTGAGGAAAAAAAACACATAAGATGTGAAGAGTCAGATAACACATAGAAATTAAAAACAGGAAATATTTCATTTCTGTTTATTTACATTTAACACCTATTATATGCAAGTGGTGCTCGCTGCAGAGCCATTTGAGGAGAGCTGAGTTCCAGCGAGGGGGAGCATGAGCTTGAGCTCCACCTTTTTTGCACTTCTTCTACGAGTGATGTCACTGGGGGTAGGGTTAGGGGTGGGGTTGGTGTAGCTTGCTGGAGCTCAGCTCTCCTCAAATGGCTCTGCAGCGAGCACCCTCTCATTATATGGGGGACTTGTAAATGTTAAGAGCTTTGAAAATACATTTCAAATGAGAAGAATATAGTCAAATAATAATATCGTCTTCATCAGGGGTACCCAAAGTGGGGGTCGCTACTCCCCTGGGGAGGCGCTTGGTGAATTCATTTAGTTAAACTATTAGAATTACCATTTTTTATTCACAGCCTACAAAAGACAATAATAGTCCATTTTTATAAACCTTTTTTTTTAATTGGATTGTGAGAGAGGGTGCTCGCTGCAGAGCCATTTGAGGAGAGCTGAGCTCCAGCGAGGGGGAGCATGAGCTGTCGCTCCTCCTCCTGTAAGCTGTTTTAATGCGTACACCAACTCCACCCCTAACCCTACCCCCAGTGACATCCCTCGTAGAAGAAGTGCAAAAAAGGTGGAGCTCAAGCTTAAGCTCCCCCTCGCTGGAGCTCAGCTCTCCTCAAATGGCTCTGCAGCGAGCACCACTTGGATTGTGACCCCTGGGGTGTTTACATTTATATTAAAGACACATCAATAGTGTGAGATGCAGCAGATTCATTTTAAGGCACCAGGTTAAACTTTGACAACTTTGGATGTAATGTAATGTATTTTTTATTTAGTGCCATGTCAGCAACCAAGGCTATCTTCATGGCAGGAATCTTTCAACAATAAATATACAATTTAAAAATTAACAAACAAAATAAAACATAAATTAAATAAGATTTTTTGTGTTAATACATGATCAAAATTCTAAAATCTTTTCTGGTTTCACTTTGTCAAAAATGTCCTTAAAAGAGTTCATTTCATAAAAAGTCCTTCTGGAATCAGTAAAAGCAGGACAGTCCAGTAAAATAAGTTTTATAGTAAGAGGAGTTTTGCAGCACAAACACTGAGTAGGGTTTTCACCTTGGAGCAAAAAACCATGTGTAATTCTCGTATGCCCAATACAACATCTGGTAAAAACTACTTGATCAAATCGATTCTTAAAATGTCTTAAAATTCTGTGTGAAACTTCAGGTTGGATTTCATGTAGTTTATTGTTTTCTAATGCATCCCATTCCTTTTGCCAAAATTTGGCATTTGTTCACTACTTGCTTCAAAGCATCTTTAGCAGCTGCATCAGCTCGCTCATTTCCTAAAAGTCCGACATGTCCAGGAACCCGACAACTTTGGAAGATGGTCTACTAGTAGCGGTTTCAAAATTACACCAAGAATAGACTTGGGCCTATGAACCCTTTTCTTTGTTGCTGCTAGAAGGGCACCATAGTGACCAGCGTTTCCGGTAGGATGCTTAGAACTTCCGTTTACAGCATTGACAACAGGTAAATCTTGATCCGAAAATAGTTGACAACACTGTTTTGTGTGGCTTACAGGGTGTTTTGTGATCCACAATGTTGATTTTGAAAGGTGTGTGTTAAAGCCGATATACTTCTGTCAAATGCACAAGAGAAAATCCTTCTCCACCTTTAGTGTCTGCTGTCATATAAGCTGTATTTCAGCGTCAGTGTTCTCGACTTGTCAGCTGTACTGAACTCAGCAGCTCTTCAGTGCACACACACAAACACACACGCAATAGATCACTGCATTAAAGAGCAAACCATATTACTGGCATGAAACTTAACAGGTATGTAACGAAGCCATGCAATTTCCAAAAAAACTAAAAGTAAGTTACTGATACTCTGCTGGCTGATTTGCATGTTGATTCTAATCGGGAGCCGTTTGTTTCATTTAGTTTGTTTTGTGTTGTATTTATCATAGTATTGCATTAAAAAAGCCACTTTAAATTCACTTTGTGCCAGTCTTTCAATCAATGTGTTAATGGGACAGAATAGGCTAGGTCTGTCAAATATTTTGGTGAATTACATTTGTTTGAGTTGGTTATATGCTTGAAAAAAAAGAGAAAATGATCACTTTAGCAGTGATGAGGCTTCATTTAAATGGCACAAGATACCATCTGACGGTAAGGGTGGTAAGGGTAAATGACTTGCAAAATGTTGTTTTTCCTTCCTCTTAGATCACATTATTTAAATAACCAGTCCACGGGTCCGTTCTTCGTAAGTGGATTACTCAGTTAGCTGGATTTGGTTATTGACGATTTGACATGATCCAAGATCGTTTCGTTCTTCAAAACTGGTTTGAGAGTTGTTGTCATAGCAACAGTTCTGCTAGCTCAAACACAGCAGCGTTAGCAAAGAGCTTAGAATGACCAAGAGGCGACACTCTAGTGTAATTTGGGAAACAGCCACTTGAGGGTGCGGCGGCCATTTTGAAATGAAAACTCCAATAGAACAACAGCATATTATAAGTCTGTAAAATAACCTATTAAAAGTGCTTATGATTGTGATAATAAGTGTTATATTGTCGTCTTTCAGGTTGTATCTCAGCTTTAATACGTTTTTTATATAAATAAATAAAAAACAAAGTAACTGCTAGCCATCGCAAAAGTAATGAGATTCAATGGACGGCCGATCACTTTCACTACAAAATGGTGGAATCCAGGGCTGTTGCTGGGCGCTGCTGTTGCAATGGAACGTTCTATTGAGTGTCGCCTCTTGGTCATTCTAAGCTCTTTGGCGTTAGTTAAAAGATGTTAAAAACAAGTAAAATATATTAAAACTATCATATCAAAACTGTCCGAAAGTTACTGTTTATACGCATCAAACATCCTTCTTACGCATACACGCTAAGCAAAATAGGTAATTTTGCATTCTACGAAAAATGTCTATTGGTGTGTGTCTTTAGGTCCAAGGTTAGTATATTTATAACCACCTAAGAGGAGTGTGGGGGTCGCGAGTCACTGGCATTGTTATTTTGGGGGTTCCAGGCTGAAAAGTTTGGGAACCTGTGGTCTACAGCAGTGGTTCCCAAAGTGGGGGTCGCAAGACAATGAGGAGGGGTCGCATGGCGATGTCCAAAAATCTAATTCATTTTATTAAACTATTTAAATCACCATATTTTATTCATAACCTGCAGAAGAACAAAAAGTAATTAATAGTTACACTGTTAACATTAAAATAATAAGCATTAAAAAACAACATGCAAATAAAAAGCCATCAGCCTTTCGATTTCCTTTTTTTTTTTGGCGACCCCTGGGGTGATTACAATATTTTAAACACACAGCAATAGTGTCAGTTGCAGCACATTGACTTTGTCACTGGGTCAAACTTTCCGACACCTTTACTGTACTCACGTACATTAAAAATAAACACAGGCTACATCTGGACATGAACAACGGACTCCAAGTGGCGTTCTCCAAAATTAAACGTTGAATAGACTTAGGCCTATTGATGTGTGTGCAAGGATTATATAACTAGAACCACCTCAGAGAATATTAGGGGTCGTGATTCACTGGCATTGCTAGTTTGGGGGTAGCAGGCTGAAAAGTTTGGAAACCCCTGATCTACAGGACCATATGTATGCAGCCATGTATTTTTCCTTTACAAAATTACAACTACTAATATGTATAAATGGCATCTGTACATATTTTTTTTGACAAATTGTCTTTGGTACAGTTTTTTAGGTACAGTGTTGTCATGTAAACATACCTTATATGAAAACAGGCACGAGGAAACATACAGGAGGCATTTAAACTACACCATCTTTCAATACGTATGGGCTCATTTATGCATTTTATCTCTTTACACAACTGCAGCTGTTGACTGAAAATCTATCAATCTTGTAGTCTAAAGAAACCTTATAAAAGAAAACCTCCCTTTATAGTACATTGTTACTAATGTACACAAGAATAATCTTCATTACCTTGGATTCACCTCTAGATGGTAGTTGCTGGCAATAGTGTTGATTTCAAGCTTCTTTTTTGATGGAGTCTACGGGAGACAAATGGTATATTACTATATTGCATAATTAGAAAGTAACTTCACCTTAAAATGAAATCAACCTGTTTTAGTTTGTTTCTTCTGTTGAACACCAAGATATACTAAAAAACGTTGCAGGAAAAATCCGCATTTGACCTTCCATAGTATGTTTTTGTTCATATGAAGTAGGGCTGCCCTGTATATAATTTCAGCATTGATAATGCAATTTGTACATAGTCACATTGCAAGATATGCAATGCTGATTCTGGATTATAGTTGACCAGGAGCTACAGAACACATGTGATTTGTAGATTCACTGCTTAGTTTAACTATAATAAAGTGGAGGTTTATCATTTGCATGTATTTTAAGGCCTGTGACTGAACACTTCAAGAGTTAAGAGCAGGGGTCACCAATCTCCTTCCTGGAGGGCCGGTGTCCCTGCAGGGTTTAGCACCAACTTGCCTCAACACACCTGCCTGGATGTTTGAAGTATACCTAGTAAGACCTTGATTAGCTTGTTCAGGTGTGTTTGATTAGGGTTGGAGCTAAAATCTCCAGGACACCGGCCCTCCAGGAACAAGTTTGGTGACCACTGGTTATAGTATTTAATCATTTATACGGAATTTATACAACAAAAAAAGTTTTTCTTAGAACTTTTGTCTTGTTTCTAGTCCAAATATCTACATTTCAAAGAAAAAAGAAAATTTTACTTTCACCATTGGCAGATATTTTTGCTTGTTTGAAGGAAAAACTAGGTGAAAACAAAATAATATTTTACTTGATATTTTAAAAGCATTTTTTGCATTAGGATTATTCAATTTTTTGCATTGAATACTGTTAGACCTCCAAAAATCAAATAGTGCAATTCAAACAATCTTGTGAAACTGTATTACAATATTTTTCGCAGTAAAATAAAACATAACTATCAGATTTTTTCAATATAGTGCAGCCCTAATATGAAGGTCAATGGCTGCTTTTTCCACAACATTCTTCAAAATATCTTATTTTGTGTTTTGTGAAAGACGTTCAAGTTTAGAACCAAATGAGTTTATGTAAATGGTAAGGAAATGTTCATTGTTGGGTGAACTATCCCTTTAAGCAGCTTTCTTTCTTAAAAATACCGTGATAGACTGATGTTCAATCCTGAGTTTCTCCACCCCGGCTCCATAAAGCTCTCGAAGCAAACACATGATCCGAGTTTTCTTGCCAGCTCCAGAGGGTCCATAAACCAACAAATGAGGAAAATCGCCACACTGAACCTAGAAAAATTCAACAATAAGAGCTTATTATCTCCTTACACGTTTTGTTAGCATTATTAATTCAGCATGTGAAGTACACAAGAGTTCACGGTTTCAGCTAAGTTTATATGCTGATAGAGTTGCAAACGTTAGAAATTTTAACAACCTTCTTCAACAAGACATATTGTATAATGATTCACACGTTGTCAAAATAACAATAAAAACAGTTATTTAATTTGATTTTGGTCTGGCATAAATGTAAACGTTAAACACAACCAACATCCTGACAGTGTCTGTCGTTTTACCAGATTTTTGAGCTGGTTAGCTTGCTCCTTGTGGTAGTCCAGTTTAGCCAAGGACGTCGGTCGGTATTTGTCCACCCATAAACTCATTTTTCAGTTGAAATGATGACAGTAATGTACCCGTGGAAGAAGTAAATAATATGATGTTATTGTCATCCGCCTGCTCCCGCGAAACACAAACCCGCGCAGCGCGCTGTCAGAGCGGCAACTACAGGAAGCGAGGAGGGACAAGGGGTGCTTTTGCGTTTTGTAAAATGAAGAACTAATGTACTGTAGGCCATCTGTTGGACGGTCAGTGGCGTAGCGGACGGGCACACAGGGCAGTGATGCATCAAGCACTTCATTCACACACCGGCTGATGTGACGTGTGCCGCTCTGTAAAATTATTCTGTAACATTGAAAGTTTCTGTTTTCTCATCCTTCCGACTGAGTTTATTCTTTCGAGGGGAATACTTTTAGGATAGTTTGTAAGCCTGGCTCATTGTGGTCAAAGTTGTTGATTAAATTAATAAAAGTGAAACTGACAATCACAATATAGATTTTCATTAACAGAAAATTATTTAGCCTAGTACCGGCTGCTTTGAAAACTGTGAATATTTGACTGTAATTTTATTTATATCAATAGTTTATTTAACAGACCAGTTTGTGTTTTGATTAGGGTCAATAGTGGTAGCCTGTTGCAGAGTTCAAAGAAAAATCTTACTATTAAAAAAGGAAACATAAGCTGGACCACATCACCATAGAAACTGTATTATGCTTTAAAAAATGGCACAGTATCAGGATTGGATCTGTATTGGTCGATACTCAGAATTTTGGGATCGAAATCGAATCAGTTCCAAAAAAATGGTATCGGTGCATCATTATTTTTATTGAGTCATAGTTTAATATGGTAAGAACAAGGACTCATTTTATTTTATTAATTTACATTTTTAGTAAAAGGTCTTTATCAAATGAGTAATTTCTTTTTGAACTTTGTTCAATTAAGAATTGAACCTATAGAATCAAAATTGTGTCACTGTTAGTACATTAAAAGTGTGAGGTCAATATGATTTTTAATGTTTTTAATGGCTCTACATTAACTTTTTTGATCACCAGCCTATATGGCTAGTAGTTTTTCAACTTTACTAGCCACTCGCCATTTTCACTTTTGTTGTTGGGAAAATATATTTGCAAAATTACTTGATTTAAATGTGTTGTGTATGACATTGCTCAATGAGCATGAGTGGTAGTGGTTTCATGGTGTTGCTTTGTAATTATTTCAGGGCTCAACATTAAGGTTGTACCAATTTTTTCTCTGACCACACTGGAAAATAAATAAATAAATAAATTAATAAGTATTTCTTAGCCAAAAATGTTAAATAATTTTAAAATTTCAAAAACTAGCGAAATATATGTTATAATATGCAAACACTTTTTATTAAATAAAACTAAACTAACAATTATTGTCATGTAGCCTGTCTAAAACTATGAAAAGTAGTCTGTCCTAGCTCCAAGACCAAGGTCTCAGATCAGCAGTTAACTATACATTAAATTTAATCTATTAAATCAATGTTACTGAAAAGAATAATAATTAAACCATATCAACAAAAAGAAAGCAGGTGAAAAACATACCGTGCGCAATAATAAAAGGATGATCAAACGCACACAGTTAACGTTAGGCCCATTAATAATCTGTTCAAAGATTGTTTAAAGCTAAAGCTGCAACCGCTGCTGCATACATAAAATACCTTCTTATTTTAAATCTCGAGCTATTGAAAATGGTGGATGTGTATCGCTTTTTGTGAAGTCTATTTCAAACAGAACCGATAGCAGCATTGTGTTTCCAGTCAAGGTTGCTTCACGCAAGGAAATGGGATCGTGCACGCTTTTAAAAAATTGCGCGCATCACATAACATTCTGTATTCATCTGCTTTATTTTGCTTGCGTGAACACAGTTGTTTTTGTCAGTCGAGCTGCTTCTCATTTATAGAGGTTCATCCTTATTGTCGAACCCTGCTTTTAAACAAAAATACAATTTAAAAATGATTTTCGACCAGCCAAAGTGACTAGTGGGAGTGGCTGTCTAATCCGCCACAGCTAAAGTCTACCTGCGGTTGGTGGGTGTTAATGTCAAGCCCTGGTGTTAACCCATTAATCTGATTATAGTGTATTTAGGCTACATACACACTGTAATATTTCAGGAGGAACCGCCGCATACAAATATGGAAATAAACTCGAAATTGTGATAACCTTAGTGACATTTGGTTTTGTATCCTCAGATTTTTAAACGCAGTAGTATTACAGCAACTACAGAATATTATAGTCAACAATTTTAGGTAAACCAACAGTAACAGAGGAGGCTTTAATGTTTGGAACGCCATTTTTGCAATTGATTTTTCACACTTTTCTTTTACCACAGTTCTAGTACATGGCCATATAGTCTGACATAGTGTCATTGTGTTCTCTGTCTTGTCCCAGAATCCTTTACCAACGTTGCGTCTTGGCAAGTCATCTGATGTGCGTCAAGGTGAATTTGTGGTTGCCATGGGGAGCCCCTTTTCTCTTAAAAACACCATCACATCTGGCATCGTCAGCTCTGCTCAGAGAGGCAGTAAAGAACTGGGTCTCTCCAACTCCAACATGGACTACATCCAGACGGACGCTACCATAGATGTAAGAGCACTGGAAACTGGGTGGTGTTGCATGCAAAAAAAAATGTATGTCATCATTTAATGAATTGCATTCCATCACTCAATCACAATTCTGCTTTACAGTTTGGAAATTCAGGAGGGCCTCTCATAAACCTGGTGAGTCGCTGACATTTACTCAAAAAACTGCTTCTGCCTTTTGGTTTAAAGGGTCCAAAAACACCAAAACACATTTTTGAGATGTTTACAGTCATATATATGTCCCACGCTGCTAAAAACACTATTAGGATACATATATTTCACAATAAAAGTGAAAATTGGTTGTTTTTGCGTTATTTCGAACAAATTCGTTCTTCCGGTTTGAAAAGAAATTTTGAAGCTACGTCAAGGCCATGAGCTCCTTGTGTAAATTCCAGCATGGAGACTGGCTGTCTGTACCGGCGGGTACAATGTGACGTCTTTGAGCTTTCATCATTAATTCAAGAGAAAGACGAACTAATCAGTGCGCTCTATTGTGAATGAGGTGCAACTTTATTGATATACATGATAGCTTCAAAAACTACCTGTTACAGTATTCAGAGAGACGCGACGTTGTGTTGCTAACCGTAAATAAAACAAGTGGAAGAAGAAGAATTGTTCGGAGACATGGGTCGTCAGTGTTGTTTATAAACGTGCCACAACAAAGGTTTTGTTTTCATTCTCCCGCAGTGAGAAAGGACCCACATTTGTGGACTACAGTGGTCTTCTAACACGCAACAAAAATGTTTGTAAGGAACATTTTTACCCGAGAGCTTTTCGCATCTGGAAATGGTGAAATCCAGATTTGCTCATCGTCTTCTTTTAAAAAAAGATGCAGTTCCAGTTCGCGTTGATTGTCCTGTCTCTATGGATTTGGTAAGTGAGCAATCGGTGTTCTTTGTTTGTTTATTCAGATGGCAAAGGTAGTTAGTATCGTCAGCAGTACTCTTTTAATATCACTACAATATTATGGACTGAAAGATCTGCTGTAAATGCTGCTCTCTGAATGTAAACATGTAAACACCTTAATCAAACTATTACTAAAACTATTACCATCTTGTAGGATTTTCGCCACATTTTGTAACGGGATGATCTCTACACACACGGCTGCTTGACACTATTCTCTGCGGAGGTTTTTTTTTTCTCCCATACGGCGTGCGGTATCCAAAATTCCATTAAAACTACACTCTTCTAGCAGTTCTTTGCATCCAGTTTCTCGTTTGTCATGGGGGGCACGCATGAAATGTTCTTGAATGAAAATGAAAGTGCCAAACTGCAGTTAAAGTCGACAAATTTAGAATGAAACGCCCCTAAATTACATGAGACTTATTATGAGACTAAATTACGGAGGAAACGTGGATAGCGTGGTGACACAATAACGTTAATCGTATTATGTGCTTTAACATGTAAAACGGGATCATGAAAGGAACATTCTAAAAGCAACTCATGTAAACACCTTAATCATATTATTGTTTTATTCAGATTAAGGCAAATAGTTAGATTACTGATGTTCACAAAATCATTACTTTGTCTGTTAAACCGACAAGTGTAACACAAACTACTCTCCTGTCTTCATTTAGAATAAAAATTCCAAGTAACTCAACACAAGCAAAGACAATTGTAGGCATAATAGTAGGAGTATTAGGGTAGGAGTATTTATAGCCACAGACATGCAACCTTTTTCAGGGGTAGAAAACTCTGGTTTTAGGCATTTAATTAGTGTGCTAGAACCACTCTACAAAATCCCAAGTAGAACGTATCTCACAGCTATGGTGGTACCCTCCTTGTACAGTAATGTGAAGGAGAAAGTTATTAGTGCACATTTAGTAGTTGACTACAGATTGCTGGACCTTCAGAGCAACACAGAGCTTCATGACTGTCATATTAAGAACGTGAATTGTTTTCAAATGTTCATCAATATTGTATTGTACTGGCCATACTCTAGCCTTATGTAATAAACTGATGTGTCATGTTTGAACTCTTCAGGATGGTGAGGTCATCGGCATTAATACCATGAAAGTGACAGCAGGGATTTCCTTCGCTATTCCCTCAGACAGAGTCCGTCTCTTCCTAGACCGATCTGTAGATAGAGTAAGAATGACCTCACAGCTGCTTGCTTTTGTCTGTGACATCATTTTTTTCACTGACAGATGGTTATTGGGTCTTTTTTTCAGAGTCTTGGTTTGGAGAATCGGGATCGAAAAGGCGTTACATTGGAGTGATGATGTTGACTTTGACCCCCAGGTGCCAAACACTTTTATTACAATTTTACAGGAGAGCAAAATTCATACATTATGGAATCTGCAGATTTTTGTTATATACCACTAGATTTGGCTCTTAGAAATTCAAGTGCTGGAATACCTGGAAAATTGGCTTGTTCTGTTGAAAAGTGTTTAATTTATCAAGGACAATTTCCATCCCCAAGAGGGAAGAAATCACTTTCGCGAACGCTCACGCTCACGCTCAATCTGCCCAGTTGGTGGAATGAACTCCCTAACTGCATCAGAACAGCAGAGTCACTCGCTACTTTCAAGAAACGACTAAAAACTCAACTATTTACTCTCCACTACACTTCCTAATCTGCAATTGCCTCTCTGAATATCACACTAACTGTACCAAAAAAAAAAGAGAAAAAAAAAAATACTAATACGACGAATACTTCCCTTCTTAGACTTTACAGACCTGAAACTTGCCTATAGCACTTATTCTTTGTTGCTCTTAGTTGTGAAAATTGCTTCCTTGTCCTCATTTGTAAGTCGCTTTGGATAAAAGCGTCTGCTAAATGACTAAATGTAAATGTAAATGTTGTATGCAATTTTCACGCCCGAAAAATAAAAATGTTTGTGAATTTTTGTGACAATTTAATGCAAAAATACCCGCACAAACTACCGTCATTCCGAAGCAGTGATTTAAACGATATGAGAAGTGGCCAATCACAGTCAACCTTGTTTAATTTTACCTGAAATGTAAGGGCAGGACAAAGGCCTTTCTGTGTTGCAGTGACAGAAAAAAACAACTGAAAAACAAATGTATTATGGGAATAATGCTTTTCAGATGTTTTTACTATGTTATTAGCAAGAGTAATTAAACCGCAGACATTGAAGTGTTTTTGGTTGAAGCAAATGTAATATTGATTGTTTTGCTGATCTGTCTATTAAACTATCAATTAATCAATCAATCTATCTATGAATCTATCTATCTTATCTATTTATCAATCAATCCTTAAACCGTAAACTTTGCACTGAAGTGAGTCTTTTATTATCTTTAAATTCTCTTTTTCCCCTCCTCAGTATAATCGAAGAGCTAAGGATGCGAGACCCGTCCTTCCCTGATGTTTCTCATGGAGTTCTCATCCACCGTGTGATTGCAGGATCTCCAGGCAACAGGTGTGCTGCTCTCTGAACATGATGTTATCAGCTGTTGATTAAGGCATCCTTTGATGATGTCATTTCCTGTTTTCTGTTTCTGTGCTAGAACCACTCTACGAAATCCCAAGTAGAACGTATCTCACAGCTATGGTGGTACCCTCCTTGTACAATAAAGTAAAAGGCAAAGTTATTAGTGCACATTTAGTAGTTGACTACAGATTGCTGGACCTTCAGAGCAACACAGAGCTTCATGACTGTCATATTAAGAACGTGAATTGTTTTCAAATGTTCATCAATATTGTATTGTACTGGCCATACTCTAGCCTTATGTAATAAACTGATGTGTCATGTTTGAACTCTTCAGGATGGTGAGGTCATCGGCATTAATACCATTAAAGTGACAGCAGGGATTTCCTTCGCTATTCCCTCAGACAGAGTCCGTCTCTTCCTAGACCGATCTGTAGATAGAGTAAGAATGACCTCACAGCTGCTTGCTTTTGTCTGTGACAGCATTTTTTTTTACTGACAGATGGTTATTGGGTCTTTTTTTCAGAGTCTTGGTTTGGAGAATCGGGATCGAAAAGGCGTTACATTGGAGTGATGATGTTGACTTTGACCCCCAGGTGCCAAACACTTTTATTACAATTTTACAGGAGAGCAAAATTCATACATTATGGAATCTACAGATTTTTGTTATTTACCACTAGATTGGGCTCTTAGAAATTCAAGTGCTGGAATACCTGGAAAATTTGCTTGTTCTGTTGAAAAGTGCTTAATTTATCAAGGAGAATTTGTATGCAATTTTCACGCCGAAAAATAAAAATGTTTGTGAACTTTTGTGACAATTTAATGCAAAAATACCTCCACAATCTACCGTGATTCCGACGCAGTGATTTAAATGATATGAGAAGTGGCCAATCACAGTCAACCATGTCTAGATTTACATTGAACGTAACGGCGGGACAAAGGCCTTTCTGTGTTGCAGTGACAACAAAAGAAACAACTTAAAAACAAATGTTTTAATGGAAAAATGCTTTTGGGATGTTTTCACTATATGTTATTAGCAAGAGTAATTAAACCACGAACATACTTCCTGCCATTTCAACGATCTACACACACATTTTGCTCTCTTTTCTCCGCTCTCTTCTTCTGACTTGTCTGTCACTCTTCTGAATGTTGGCGTGGGAATGCAGGTATTGCGCAATTACTTATTTCTGCATACGTCGTGAGCACTTTATTTTAACATGAGAGCGCAGTCATGTACATTAATCATAAAAACACATATGTGACCTCTTAAATAGGCTTTTTCAAATTAACTGCAAGTCCTCTCATCATCTCGTGTGTGTGATCAGACTGTATACAATCGCGATCTCTTCAATATTAAAGTAGAAATTATTTATCTTTGCTCCTTGACTAAATTTAGTATTTAGAGTACAGACTTTTTATTTGGCTGTATCGTCAAGTGAAACTTACTGTACTTTGAGCAAAGTTGGAATTTTTTATATTTCTTTACGACAAAAGAATTATGCTAGAAATGTTTCTGTTTGGGGTATTTGTGGGTTTTATACATTATAGCTGTATTCTGATCTGTCTTAAAGCATCACTGAATTGTACAGGCATTACAGGTCAAAGCAATCTGCTGTTAAATTGATCATTATAAACAATAAGACTCTTCAAACACTGCTTTGAAAAATGTAGTGTTGTCATAATTCAAATACCTAGAGTTAAACAAAGCCATTTGCTTTATTATCATTTTATTTATTATTTATGACAGCGTACTAGTCTTTTTTTGTAAAATTATTTCAGTTTAAGATCAAGTGTAAAATAATATTTCCATGTGCTGTACAGCTATTTAAGAAACAAATTTGCCATATTGTAAAGACAAGAATGAGCAAAAAAGAAAAATGGTGTAAAATATATAAATAAAAGGCTAAATTGAAATATTTTTATCATATACTTTAATTAAACCTTTCAAAACTTGAAAATATTGTTTAAAAAATGGACAAAACGTGTCTCTATGGCCTTATAGAGTATGTGGTAGTTTTGCCAGTACTATTGAAAAAGATTAATTGTCATGGAAGGAAAAATCGACCATACTTCCTTTGTTAGTGCACATTTTTATATATGTAGCTTTGTGATTCAAGCAATTAAACCATTCAAATAAATTTATTATCATTTCTTGAAAAAAGAGCCAAAATGAAAATCTGAGTTTTTTTCCCCAAAAATATCTAACTAGTACTCTGAGTAGTTTTTAAAAGAGTACTTTGTACTTTTACCCAATGTTAGTATTATTTACTAAAACTTGTATTATTTTAGCAGTGTAATAGTATAAAAAAACATTTTCACAAGCACATTTAGTGCAGGTTTAATATATTATTACTATACAATTGATTAATTAATTATATTATTATTATGATCAATAATGGTTTTTATTTGTATATTTATATAAATTCCTATGCAGTGTTTTAATACGTTGCGTGTCAGTCTTGAAAATAAAAATAGGTGCTGGAAAAAAGTACTTAAAAGTCCTTGATTTTCATTAGGCTGTGCCTGTATGAGCCCTGTAAAATTCAAGATATTTAAGGTTTTCAGTTTTGTATACATAATGTAGAGTTAAGCAATATCATAATGTAGAGTTGAACAATATCATTTTTTTTTGTCCCAAATGACACGAGTTCAATTGTGGTATTGATTTGAACACTTCTGTGAATAATTAAAGGTGCAGTAGGTGATCTGCCAAAATGCTAACCGCTTAGCATATTATCTTTGGACCGCGGGGAGGGACTGTGATTCAAAGCCACATGGCCTGAAATCTGCATTTGCTGACAGACAGTTTGAGCTGCTTATCTGAATTACAGGAGATGTCGACCCGACAATATTTAATGGGATGAACATTTTTTAGTTTTATACTTTACCCAGAATATAAAATACATAAAAACACATTTAGATCATTTACTTTAATCATTACTATTGGACTGTGAAGAGACTTTCAACCAGCACAACTAAAATGTTTCTGAGGACAATCACCTACTGCACCTTTAATTTAATGCATTGCAAATTAACAGCATTTCCTTTTTCACACTCTATGCGAGTGAAGTAGTATGAATGTTTTGTTGAGGTGTTTTTGGTTGAAGCAAATGTAATATTGATTGTTATGCTGATCTATCTATCAAACTATCAGTCTATCTATCTATGAATCTATCTATCTTATCTATTTATCAATCAATCCTTAAACTGTAAACTTTGCACTGAAGTGAGTCTTTTATTATCTTTAAATTCTCTTTTTCCCCTCCTCAGTATAATCGAAGAGCTAAGGATGCGAGACCCGTCCTTCCCTGAGTTCTCATCCACCGTGTGATTGTAGGATCTCCAGCCAACAGGTGTGCTGCTCTCTGAACATGATGTTATCAGCTGTTGATTAAGGCATCCTTTTGATGTCATTTCCTGTTTTCTGTTTTGCAGAGCCGGAATGAAGCCAGGAGAAGTTATTATTGAGATCAATGGGGTAAAGGTGAACACGTCGGAGGAGATATATAATGCTGTGAGGACCAGCGAAAGCTTAAATGTGGTGGTCCGCCGGGGGGCCGACCTGCTCATGCTGCACATGACCCCAGAGTCCACAGAGCGACATCAAGTCAAGTATTTAGTAAGATTAAGAAATGGTGAGTAATGAGAAGCTGTCATAGTTGGAGATGTTGTAAGAAAGGAATCATCTAAAGAGTTGAACAGTTTTAGCAAACGCTGGACATTCGTGTAGTAAACGTGTTTCTGGAAGCGTATGAAATAATGTGGATGATTCAGACTTCTGTACACTGGATAAACCTCAGTGTGTCTGCGCAAACTACACTATCAGTATTGATTTGAAGGAATATCACTGAATATTTTGTTTAGGATTGTCATGATGGCAACAAACACTCAGCGACCTTAATAAAACTGGGTGCTCTTATTGTGAAAATGCTGATGTTTTGTATTGAGTCTCACATTCTCATGTTATACGACGTTTGTATTTTAATACATTTTTCTGAACAGCTCTGATTTCACAATAAACCATTGGAATATTTATGGATGATTTGCTTATGTCGCAGTGACTGATATGTTTAGGTTTTGGGTCAGCGCTGTACAGCATTCTGAAAAAGTGTATTTCTAAAAGTGCGCCGTAATGACGCCAGTGTCAACTGCAGTGTGTGTTGGAAAGGACTGGATGCTGTTCAAACCTCATGCCAAATTTTTGTCACCCCATACAAAACCATTTTAAATCCACAAAATCTGACAACACTGGGGCTAGATCACAATATAAGCCACAACACAAGTGAGTTCAATAAAATATATCTTTATTACAGACATGTACAAAAATCAAATATACAAAACATTCTGCTAATGTGACTCAGAACTCCAGCATGGACCAGTCGTGGTAAGGCATCTCTTCTAGAGGAATTCTGCACTCTGGATTCTCATGCAGACAAGCCCTCATCATATCACAGCATTCTGTGAAGAAGAAATGGAGAGGTGAGGTTATTGTTATTATTATTATTAAGCTGTTTCACTTAATTGTTCTTTGATGAACATCTCACCTTGAGAGAGGGTAAATTTGGACCAGTCATGTTGGAGGTAGTACAGGTCATACGCTGATGGGAATTCTCCATGGAGCATTGTGAACAGAAGAACCCCAAGAGAATAGACCGTCGCTGGTTTGGCCCGGTAGCATCCTTTTTCATAAAACTCTGGCGGGATGTACGCTTCTGTGCCTGGAGGAGAGACGTTTAGTTTAGCATCATGTTGAATATATATACCAGATGGGCTTCAGCTGTGCTAATTAACCAGCTTTCAATACGTATATTAATAATGCTTATGCACATTTATAACTAGTGATGTCAAAAGTATCAACTACCAATCGATACCGACACTCATCACAGTCATATTTGCTGAGCATGTGAACACCAATGGCCAATCAGTGGTGTTTAACAGCGCTCAAATTGACTTGTTTAATGTCAGAATCGATTGGTACCGAAGTCGATACTTTTGACCACACTATTCAAAACACCTACCAGAGAAGATACTGTAGGCTGATTCCATCATGAAGTCTCCACACCCGAAGTCGATCAGCTTGACTTCCAGTGTGTCGGGGTTCACCAGCAGGTTTTGAAGCTTAATGTCCCGGTGGAACACCCCGCGGTAACAGCACACGTTGGCCGCATAAACAGCTTGCCTCATGATGGTATGTGCTGTTTTCTCACTGAGGACTCCTCCGCTGACTTCAAGGAATGCCTCCAGGTCCATGCTTGGACTAGGCCGCTCCATCACCATGACATAATGGTTTTCAAAGACCTGCCAGTCCAGAAGCTGAATAATGTTCGAACACCTGGAGCCACCGCTGGCCATGTTTGTCAAGGTGATCTCTAGAGGAAGTGGCTGGTCACATGACTGAAAACAAAATAATAATGTTGGTTTTCAAACAAGGGTTTCTGACCACAGCCTGTGGTCTATAATAAATATAAGACTTTATAAACTGAACACAGCGAACAGAAAGTGTAGTCTACTCACAGAGCTGACATCTTGCATATTTGGGGTCTTCTGGACAAATTTAACTGCCACCTGTTTAAAGGAACAAGCGAACAATTAACATGTGCACGGAGATCATTTCATTCAGTCATAAATCCTGAACAGAGGATTCATTCGTCAGCAGAAATGTCCAAACAATGAAAGCTCTGATGATGTTCTTTAAACAGGGAACTTCATCAGAGGATTTGAGTCTACAAAAATGAATACCTGCAGACCATCCTGTATGCGAATCCCCTCATACACGGAGCCGAAACCTCCTTCACCAAGCTGCTTTCCGAGTTTGTAGCGGCAGCTGATGTCATCTGTTAAAAATGAAGAAAATGTCATTAAATTATAAACCAAATAAAAACACAAACAGTTGAAGTCAGAATTATTGTCAAATTTCAGAACATGATAGTTTTAATAACTCATTTCTAATAACTGATGTCTTTTATCTTTGTCGTGATGACAGAACATCATATTTACTGGATATTTTCAAGATACCTGTGTTCAGCTTAAAGTTCTGAATACTTAAACTTTATTGCTCTGCATCATTTGGGAAATATTTAAAAAAATATTAATAAAAAATCACAAGTGGGCAAATAATTTTGACTTCAACTGTATAATTTTACAAAGTTTGATGAGCCTAAACAAATGTTCTGAACTCCAGCAATAAACTTACTATTGTCCAAGCAGGTCCCATCATCTGCTGTAGACTTCACAGCAGAGTCCTCTTGTGAGACCTGATCCGGTGGAGGGTTTGAGTTTTCATCCAGGGCAGAGTCACAGATGTCATCTGTTATGAGCTGCTGGCTCACTGGAAGTTCATTGTCCTCATCGGATGGTGAACTTGGAGGACTTTCAAGCTCTTGCTCCAGGCTGTCCGACTCCTCACTGAGGGAGGATTCGTTGTCTGCTGTGAAGTGAAGCTCTGCAGAGTCGTTCTCAATGACCACTGCAGAGTCAAAGCTGTTCACTTCAGGTTTAAAGTCCAAATCTTCGTCTGCTGGAGCATCAAGAGCTGGAGGTTGGAGAACTTCCAGCTCCAGGTTGCTCACAGCAGTGCAGAAGAATTTAGAGCTACTGATGGGCTCTGCGTGAAGTTCGTGGATCTCCTGCACACATAGCTGATCTAAAGAGAGGAAGAAACATCATTAATATGACTCTACAACTCTTTTTGACAAGATATTTGAACAGTTCATTTGCAGAAACATTACTCAATGTGTTTTTATTGATGATCTTCATGGGTTTTCTGCATTGAATTAGCAAACAAGTAAACTATATATCTAAAGGCAAAGCTCACTGAAATAAAAAAATCCTAATACAAATAATTCTTATTTTTTCTGTTTTTTTACACAAAACTACAAATTCTGAAGAAAATTCCTGAAATCAGCAGCCATTAACCTTCATTGTTGGAACACAAAATACTGTGGAAGTCAATGGCTGAAAGCACCTCAAACAGGTTTAAGGGGTAAATTATGACAGAATTGTCTTGTTTATGTGAACTGTGGCTTTAAGAAACTGTCTTTCTAAAATGTCTTCCAGTTAATGTTTATTTCTGATCTTTAAACACTTATGTGATGTGTTTGGTGTGTTTAACAGTATGCTTTAGTAATTAAAAGTGCTCATAAATCTATTTTACCAACAACAGTAGCTCTTCTTCTGGAAAAACAGGCGAAGAAGATGGGAGACAATTTGAGTTTCCTCTTTTTCTGTCTCCCTGCCTGTTTTCCTGCAGCGACGGCCGGGTCATCGGTCATCAGATGACGGTGATTCTCTGTCGTGCTGCCGGTGGGTTCGAGTGGCTCACACGGTTGTTCGTTCGCACACTTAACACCAAACGCTTTCTTCAGACGGTTAATCAGTTTTGAAAATGCCATTTTATCACTGTACTGTTGAATCGCAGAAAGTACTGAACTACTAGACATCCAAAGAAGCTAATGAGAGTTTCTGCTACGTCAAAAAGCTTTATACTGTCACTGATGATGTCAGAGTTCCACAATTCCATTTGGTATTACGTAGAGACTTTTTAAAACACAACAAACTTGTAATGCAGGCCCGCGCTAGACTGACTGGCTCATTCGCCTTAATGTGCTCACACAGCCACCTGCTTATACACATTTTTTCCAATTATTAATTAATTTAATTTTGCACTTAGGCCTATGTATTTTTTCTGTCATGCACAACTTTTTCTGCGTTTTACTTTTTATTACAATTATTGCCATGTTTATATATATTTATACGTGTGTGTGCGTGCGTGTGTGTGTGTGTGTGTGTGTGTGTGTGATTTTTTCATTTATTTTGAGTAGCTCATTTCGGTTATTTTATATTTTCATTATCAATTATTTATCATTTTAACAGTATTATTATTATCGTTTATATTATATTTTATATATTATGATTATATAAATTCGTTATTTTTGTGAATTCTTTTTAAATGAATAATGCTTCAAATAATAAATTAAAAAGAAAAATATGCAACAAAATGAAGTTATCCATGTATTACCTGAAACCGCCAGTAGGTGGTGGTAGGACACTGTCTTAAGTGAATAAGACATTTATTCAGCAACAAAGCAACTGTTGTATTTATGAATAGGTCAAGGATGAATCGACTCTCACAATTTATTTAAATCCACAGATTCATTCGCAAAAAATAACCCACTCTAGCCTAACATATAAGGACTGAACCGATGTGAACGCTAACAGGTAGGAATAATGATCAAATTCTTGTGGATTAAACATCTTTGTTGACATCAATTGCAGTAGATTTTATTAAGTTAACTTACAACAAAAGGTAGGTAATGGTTTTAATTGCGGACTGTACTTATTTTATGTGTGAACATGCTACATGCTAACACCATCACAGCTTTCCAGTCAACTAATTTAGAGCTACTAACGTTAGTCAACAGTCCCCGCCTTTACTAAGTGAAAAATGCGAATTAAAAAGAAAAAATAACATAAATAAAATAAATAATTACAAATTAAACCAATGAATATTAAAGTCAGTGTAATTAGATCTTACGTTTATTACTGTATGTCACACAGGCTAGTTAGCTAGCGCTAATTAGCAGTTGATGCTAATGCTAACATTGATGCAACTTAATGTTACTGTAATGTAATTAATGTTATATTAACGGTACTGTAACGTTAAACTAATTATTGTTTCACTTAAAAGCTCAATCAAATCTTTAACGTTAACATCAGTCAGATTGATTGCTAATTCTGTTAATATTACATTTGTTTACCTTAATATTACACTAGATAACCTTTGGAACTATACAGGGAGAGGAATTATTTAGTTTTATATTACAGAAACTCGATATTTATTTTCTATATTTTTGTTAGGCCACAGTTTGAAATGCCATTCTGCAGGCTGAAATGGCATATTTAACACAATTAACCTTGGCTTTACTACAAAAAATACAGTCAGGTTTATTTTGTGCAGATAAATGTAAGCTTACTTTAGTAAAACTATGTTTTTGTCTTATTGGCTAAATGGGCTCATGAAAGTGTTTCACATAGAAATGAATAAATAATAATTAATAATAATAATTCCTTACATTTATATAGCAATTTTTCTGCACACTCAAATTGCTTTACACATTGGGGGTAACATGTTTCCCGAAAGACATTTTGAAATGGAAACAAGATTTTTCTTTCCCATTTATATCTTTCCCTCTGACCTATTTTGTTGGCTTCTGAAAATAGTTATAAAGAGACAGGCAAATGCACTGAACATTCTTATATTAAGCAATGTGTTAACCTATTCATTAATTAAAATGAATTCACCAGGGCCGGCCCAAGCCTTCAGGGGGCCCTAAGCAGGATTTTATTTGGGGCCCCTTTGGTGCAAACAATATGATAAATTATCATCAATCCTTGATAATTCCCACACTATAAATTTAAAACACACATTATTGATTTTGTTCGCTGTAGCTGTGTTGCTTACATCATAAAATATATGTTTTAAGACAATTCTAAATATTATTCTGCAGAAACAACTTCCTATTGATCCAACTTTTTATATGACTATTTGCCAAAAATCTAAATAACACAAAACATTAATATGGGCTGGCAGAAACAAAAGCAGCTGGAAGTAGCCAATAACATACTTATTTTTATTATTATTCAGGCACACGACAGGCTGCCAAACAGTCAAACATAGTGACAATAAAGATAATTTCTTTTTTAATTGGATATAAATGTTAAAACTGAAAAAAAAACATATTGTATTTTGTAGTTCAAATAACTTAAAACGTCTATTTAAATTAAAATCAAACTAAATCAGGAAGCATTTTCTAGACATACTCGCATATAAATCAAATTAATAAATATGTACAAAAAATTTTCAGTTCTCAGAAATAATTCTAAATTAAGTGATTTTTTTTGTAAAACAAATTAATCTGCCAATGAGATAAGTAAAATAATCTTATTTAAAACATAAAATAATTTTTTTTTTTTTATTTACCCTAATTGTCAGATTATTGAGCTTTTTTTAATGAAAAATTCACATAATTTTGACAAAAAATCTTTCTAGAAAATGTTTATTGGTTTAAGAATTTTTAGATATTTGGACTACAAAATCACACAAAAACTATAAGAAAGAAAATAATTTTGCAGTGTATTACCAACTCTAAATTGTATAAATCAGAAGCTTATTTTTTTTAATCGCCAAGTTCATGAAAAAGCATTTTGCTGCTGTTCCGGGCACTGCTGCTTCAATCACGATATCAAAGATTCTGCGATATATTGACAGATCACAAGAAAACCAGCCACAATATATCACAATTTTGGTAAATGAAGGGGGAAAATGCATCAAAAATTTCTGATGAATTTCTTTTATAAACACGCATTTATAGAATTGCAACAATGTAAAACAAGTGCTCACCTGTCAAACAAGCTTAAAAATGCTGATGTGGAATTGGAATTGAGTCCAGCATACACGTAGCTGCTTTAGAACTATTTATGATTTTATCTAGCTCTTCCTGTTCTATGATTTTGAAGCACTGTAGGTTATTATTATGATTCAGTGAAATATTTACAGGATTTGGAATAAAAGCCGGTGCAGAAAGTTTAACATCTCCTATTTTCGGTCTAAAGCCTTCTATTTTAAAACTTTCTCCAAGACTAATTGTTCCTGTTAATATAAATAATCAGTGGAGAAATGCATTTAGTTTTGCATTAAATTGGTTCATTTCGACCTGAAATGAGGAGTTTATTGCTGTTTCTGAATCATGTAGCGCTGTGTCTGTTAGATCAGATGATCGCATTCACAACACTGGAACTGAGTGGATTATTACCTGCTCTTCACACACAAAGTAGGCCTACCTGAAATTTAAAACTAGAAAAGGCTCAATAATACATTGGACAGATCCTTTACGCACTGATTTCTTCCCTTTTTACTGCTGTTTTGGATTGGAAGTGTCTGCAGATAGCGGAGGACTGCGCGCTGTCTCAGTGATGCATCAAGCACTTCATTCACACACCAGCTGATGTGACGTGTGCCGCTCTGTAGAATTATCCGACTGAGTTTATTCTTCCTAGGGGAATACTTTTAGGATAGTTTGTAAGCCTGGCTCATTGTGGTTAAATTAATAAAAGTGAAACTGACAGGCACAATATTGATTGTCATTAACAGAAAATAATTTAGCCTCATATACTGTAGGTTACTCTGAAACTGTGAATATTTGACTGTAATTTTATTTATATCAATAGTTTATTTAACAGACCAGTTTGTGTTTTGATTAGGGTCAATAG